TTTAGGGGTTTAGGATTCAGGGTTTAAGGTTTAGGATTTTAGGGATTAGGATCTAGGGGTTTAGGGGTTTAGGGTTCAGGGTTTAGGGTTTAGGGTTCAGGATTCAGGGTTTGGGGGTTTAGGGGTTTAGGGTTCAGGTTTCAGGGTTTAGGGTTCAGGATTCAGGGTTTAGGGGTGTAGGGTTTATAAGGGTTTAGGGTTTAGGGCTTAGGGCTTTGGGTTTAGGATTCAGGATTTAGGGTTCAGGGTTTAGGGTTCAGGGTTCAGGGTTTCGGGGTTTCAGGATTCAGGGGTTTAAGCTTTAGGATTTAGGAGTTTAGGGTTTAGGGTTTTAGGGCCTAGGGTTTAGGGCTTGGTCCTAAACCCAAAACCCTGCAGAGGAATCCTCAGAAGGAGCCCAGAGCGGCCTCGAAAGGGCCCCCCCCAAGAAAGGAAGGTAGCAAGGTCTCGGTTGAAACCCTGTAGAGGGTACCTGATGGAACCATACTTCGTAGAATCTCTTTCTAATTGTCCGTGTGCTCATACATATATATATATAGAGTATACACACTGATCTTCATGTGGTCCCTATTTGGGTAGTTTACGGCCCAAGTGTTTATTTTAAATGGAGACATGGACCCTCAAAAACCTTCTAGAACCCTTCAAGGAACCTTTCGAGGTGCCCCTCTTGGTAACCTTTAAAGGAACCCGATTTGGGTGCATGGACCCTTCGGGTGTTGATAAAAACCGGAGTTCCTTAAACCCTATACACGACCCTTCTAGAAGCCCTTTGATACAAACCCGTATGGTAGATCCCGTTAAGGAAGCCTTTAAAGGGACCCGAAACCCTGAACCCTATTCCCTAAACCCGAAACCCGAAACCCTATTCCCTAAACCCTATTCCCTAAACCCTTGGGGGTGTTTGAAGAGCAGCCCATCCTCCGACGAGGTCATGTTTGCAATCGTCAACGCCACGGTGGTTTTAATTTTCATGGTGGAGGCCTTTCCAGTTTTTGGATGGTTTAGGGTTAGGGCTTTAGGGCTTAAAGAGTTTCGGGTTTAGGGTTCAGGGATTTAGGACTTTCGGGTTAAGGGTTTAGGGGTTTAGGGCTTTAGAGGTTTAGGGCTTTCGGGCTTAGGACTTTAGGGTGTGGGGTTCGGGGCTTTAGGCTTTAGTAATTTAGTACTTAGGGGGTTTGGGGTGATCTTGACGCAAGGGTTTGAGGGCTTTCACAGGCGCTGCACTGGCAATATATGGGTTTATAAACGGTTCAAGGCTTTAGAACTTTAGGATTAAATCTTGATTGTCTTTGAAGGGTTTTTAAGCGGGTGTTGTAAGAGTTCATGAGGATGAGGAGGAGAAGAGTGAGAAGCCGGGCAAAGCAGACGCGAAGCGGCCTTCTACGAAGCCACCACGACGCGGAAAGAAAAGCCCCGTGGAGCAGGCCCCAACCACCGTGGCAAGCCGGATGCTGACGGTGTCCTTGGAAACCTCTGCCGAAGAAACAACCCTCCTGGCGTTGACGCCTAAGCCGATTCCAAGAAGATGCAGTTGGGCTTACCCCTAAACCCTAAACCCTAAACCCTAAGCCCTAAACCCTAAACCCTAACCCTAAACCCTACACCGTAGAAGCGACCGACATGACAGCCACTGATAGCCTTGATACCTAAGCCGAAGAAGATGCCCCCGGGGCTGCGGAAGAAGATGTCCAAGCGTTGCCCTGCGGTGAAGTTGTCGGCAAGAGAACCAGGGACACCGATTTAGGGCTTAGGGTTTAGGGTTTAGGGTTGGGACACCGATTTAGGGTTTAGGGGTTGGGGTGACATGCAAGCATTTCGTTGGGGGCTAAAGCGAGGCTGTACCCGAACGTGTTGCAGTAAGTACTTCGTGGCGAGGCAAGTGGTTTTCGACATGTTCCCCATGCTTGCTACCCTAAGGCTCATGGGCCCTCAAACTGAAAGAAGATTGAGAACCCAGGGTCCTAACTAGGAGGTACCGGGCCCTGTTTAGGAGGTTCCGTAGAGCCTTAAGGTATAATGTGGTAAGCATTTCATGTCCGGTTTGGTGGGCTGGAGCCTGAGGACTGACGTCTTCTGAATGTGCGTCTTCGAACCGAATCGAAAGCTACGGAGGTCTGCGCATTTCGCTAAAGCGCAATTCGTACGCCCGATAGGATTTGTTGTCTAACTGCGAGGGTCCATATACTCTAGCATTATGGAATCAGGGACCAAATTATGGTTTTTGAGGCCCAATTGGTAGCGTATCTGGGCCCTCTGGGTAATGGAACCCTAAAAGCCTGGCATGAAGCTCTACCACTCTCCTCCCTGTGGAACCTCAGCTTTATAGGCTATGGGTTTAAGGCTTAGAAAGCTCACCACTTTGTAGGTTATTTATGGTTGAAAATTTAAGGCATTTAGAGAGGCTTAGGGTTTAGGGTTTAGGGTTATGGGTTTAGGGTTTCGGGTTTCGGGTTTATAGGGTTTAGGGCTTAGAAAACTCACCCTCCGGCGGAGGTTGGCATGAACTTTGTGGCATTTGGATGTAGCGAGTTCTGCTTGGGCGCCTCGCCTACGTTATCCGAGGCTCTGAGGCTTTGAACTTAGGGTTCCTTTAAAGGGATCTATAAGGGATCTATAAGGGTTTAGGGCTTTAGGGGTTTAGGGTTTAGGGTTTTAGGGTCCAGGGTAGATAGCCAATGAGAGAACTTTATACTTTTTGGCCTTATATATTGTGTTTATCCTAAAACGTTTGAATTTTTTTGAACCTGGTTGTTGAAGAAGAGAGTGAAATTTCGTCCGAAGGGGCCTTCCAGCGTTTTGCACCGGTTCCTACAGGGTTTCTTCCGGGCTTAGTGTTCTTCTGTTAAAGGAGGGTCTTATGGAATGTTATGTGGGTAGATTGTTGCCTTCTGTTTTGATGTTGGCTTTTTGGCTTTCGGCAAGTTTCTGAGTTAAATAAAAAGCTTGGAATACTGTTTCTGAAGGTTCCTTATTCTCTTTATAGACTTATAGTACGAGCTATACCCTAAACCCTAAACCCTAAACCCTAAAAGCCCTATGGTACTGATGATGGCCTCTGAATTGGGGTGTCTTACGGGTTCGTCACGGTCCGGAAAGCTCGAGGTTTGTCGGTGCCTGCAGTGAAGAAGGGTTTATGGTTTAGGGGTTTAGGGTTTTGGGTTTTGGGCTTGGGGTTTAGGGTTTAGGGTTTAAGGTTTAGGGTTTAGCGTTTAGGGTTTAGGGTTTAGGGTTCAGTGGTGATTCGAAGAAAGCAACTGAACATTTGCTGCCAGTGCTCGGGAAAAGGGCACAAGCTCGAACAGTGAAATGGAGTTAATCCTAGGTAGTATTAGGGAGACCCCTTAAAGGGGACCCTTCGGAACCCTTCTTGTAGCTCTCTTAAAGGGGACCTTATTGAGAGGGTCTATATCCCCCAGGGTCCCCCTAATCCTAACTCCCAGTTAATTTATGGTTCAGGCCGGGATCCCGCTTGAGCCTAATTGAGGCTTTGGCGAAGAGTTTGGGGCTTCGGATTTAGGGTTTCGAGGGTCCCGATGCTGTCGAGGCGTGGCGGAATACTTAGCAGATAAGGATAGGGTTTCGAGGTTCCGACTATGACTCTGCTGAAAAGCCGAGGGATTTGCTAGTCACGGGTCTAGATTATTCTTGGACCTCTGAGTTTGACATCATGGTTTACTCTAAACTCTGGACCCTCGTTGCACTTAACAAAGCCGTGAACCCTCAATGCATTTAAAACCTAAAACAAGTAAGATAGCTTGAGCCCTAAACTAAGCCTTAAGTCTTTAACCTTCCTTCTCGCACGTACACAAGCTGAGCCCTAAGCCCTAAGCCCTGAACGTTAAGCCTTAAACCCTCCCTGCACTTGAACAACTAAACCCAAAAGCCCTGTACTGCATACAAGCTTACTACAGCATGCGTATCATATATATATGTATGAAATATATACACATATCTATATACACATACATATGTAGGGTTTCATTGTTGTGGCCGTCAGAAGATCAGAAAGCACTCCTTGTCCCCGCATGACTCATTGGCCGTTTCCTGCAGGATTTCCTGGAATCACTCATGACACCCCCAAGCCTCTCAGTCTTGCAACACTCAACCCTTGGGGTTTAGGGTTTGGGGCCCTTTGGATCAAAATAGCCAAACAGCCTTTTTTAATAGGGTCTTTGGGTCCAATTCCAAAAGCCTTAAAATATGTGTCCTTTGAGGGAAAGGGTAAACCCTAAACCACCAGCCTCTCCAGTTTGCAATCCTAAACCCCTAAACGAAGAAACACCTTCTGAGGACGCGACAGGAAAGTAGAACTCATGGGCAAAGGTAGGGGTTGGTGCTTGAGTTTGTTTGTCGTGGTTTAAAGTTTGGGCTTCAGTTTACAGTTTGGGCTTCAGGGTCTAGGGATTCGGGTTTAAGGGTGTAGAGCTTGGGGGACTTGAGGGCTTCAGGTGTTTAGGGTTTAGGGCCTAGGGGTTCGAGGGTTTGGGTTCCGGGGTCGAGGCTTGAGCTCCTTTCGGATCTACATGCACCTGAACCCAAAACATCCTTAAACCCCAAAACCCTTAAACCCGAAACCCCTAAGCCCCAAAACCCTGAGCCCTTAAAGGAACCCTTTTTTGAGGCACCCTAAGGGGAACGAACCGCAGTCTGAACCCTGAGGAAAGGACCGCGGTTGGAACCTCTTTGACGTCGTGGTGATCTCGATGCCGCTTGTTGACGTGTGAGATGGCATGAAGCCTCAACCTTACACCCCTAAACCCTAAACCCTAAACCCTGAACCCACCACCTAATGTAGGATTCTGAGTCAGCCGGCACATGTAGTCGAAGGCAAAAGCACAGGGGCCTGAACAGTTAGACCAGGGTTTTGGGGTACATTATATTTGTCATCATGATAAGGAACCCATGGGGATCATCTTGGTACTTATTGATGCTTCGATCCCTAAACCCTAAACCCTAGACCCTAATTCTCTAAGTCCCATGATCCTCCAAGTAGGCAGCTTTTCAGTTTGAAGTCGTGCCCTGACTCAGACCGGAGCTCGAACCGTCAACCCCAAGACCCTGAACCCCTAAACCCTACACCCCTAGACCCCTAAACCCCTAAACCCCTATAAACCCTAAACCCTAAACCCCTAAACCCCTAAACCCCTAAACCCTAATGCTTTTGGGTTTAGGGTTTAGGGTTTAGGAAGCACTAAGCTCTGCAGCCTATGAAACCCCATTTCACCAACATCCTGAGATCTGCAACGCTAAACCCCTAAAGTCCCAAGCTCTTCAGTCTTAAACTGCCAAGCCTAAAGGCAAGGCCCCACCCCTCCCTAAACCTTTCGGGGTTTATGGGTTTGGGGGTTTAGGGGTTTCGGGTTTAGGGTCCCGAGTTTGAATCCGAAGCCCTGACAGCGTCTCTTCATGCGCATTTTTGGAACTTTGGGGTTTTTTTATATGCAATACCCATAGGCTCCATAATCGTTCCTTTTAGGGGTACCTGTTTAGGGTTTAGGGTTAGTTCCTTTTTGTGGTTTCTACCTGGCACATTTTTACCGTTATAGGAGCCCTATAGAAGCTCTATATACCTTATAGAAGCCTTATAGAAGCCCTATATACCCTAAACTCCCCACCTCGGAAGCTTCAGATGCTCAGGTCCACCTTGGAGATCGCCTATGACCTTTACAGCAAGGCCTTTGGGGCGTCTAGAGTTTCGGGGTTGTCTTGGTTGCTGTTCTCATAGACTTAGGGGTGTAGGGTTTAGGGTTTAAGGGTTTAGGGTTTGGGGTTTAGGGTTTAGGGTTTGGGGTTTAGGATTTAGGGTTAGGAGAGGCCTTGCAGGGCATTTGTGAAGGATTCTATACCATGATCCGTACAGAGAGGCCTTCACTTCTTCGTCCTTCAGCGTCCTCTGATGCTGCGTTGAGGGTCCCAGAGATTCCAGAACCCCCTTAAATTCAGGAATATGCCTTAAATCTTATTAGGGTTCCCATTATACTTTAAGGAAGGTATATTTTCCTTAATTGAAGGGGTTTGGGAGTCTCTGAAATCCTGCAATACGGTTGACGGCTGTTCAGGCCAGGCTTCAAGCCCTACCTTGACGGCCCTGAACCCCCTTAAAGCCCTAAACCCCTGAACCCTGAAGCCCTAAACTAAACCACTCGTCCCTAAACCCCAGTGCACCGTCGTATGACAAAGAAGCTGGGTCCTTGTTGGATACAATTTTACATTTTTGTTGTCATAAAACCCAATAAGGATTAAACGTGATCATTTTTAATATAGCCCCAACAGGGAACCAGGAAGTGGGTTGCGAAAGAAGCCCACCCTAAACCCTAGTTTCAAACCCCAATTTGAGGTTCCCTGCACTGTGGGTCCGAAAAGCTATATCATTTCTGAGGCTTCGGGTTTAGAGTTTTAGGGTTCAGGGTTTAGCGCTTAGAGAGTCTAGGGTTTAGGGGTTTTGGGTTTAGAGAGT